TCCCCTGCCCTCTCTCGTGTGCTCTCTAAATAAATAAATAAATAAATAAATAAATAAATAAATAAGTAAAAACTTAAAAAAAAAGAAATCACTGAGTCAAAGCATGTGAACATGGATCTTACACATTATGCCAAATTATTTCTCCAAGGCATTGTATTAATTTATCCTGCACCAACCTGTACCAACAGTATATGTGAATATCCTTTCACATATACTGTTTCTTTGCCAGAATTGGGGGCCATCATTTTTAATTTCTTAGGTGGAAGTTGTCTCTCCTGGTTTTAATTAGCATTTTATGCTTATTAAGAAGGTGGAATGGGGAACCTGGGTGGCTCAGTCGGTTGGGCGTCCGACTTCAGCTCAGGTCATGATCTCACAGTTCGTGGGTTCGAGCCCTGCATAGGGCTCTGTGCTGACACCTCAGAGCCTGGAGCCTGCTTCAGATTCTGTGTCTCTCTCTTTGCCCATTCCCACTTGCACTCTGTCTCTCACCCTCTCAAAAATAAACATTAAAAAAAAAAAGAAGGTGGAATGTTTTCCTAAGTGCTCACATATTGTCTCCGGGTAGCAAGGCTGGAGTGGGGACCACTCCATGGCAGTTCTTGTTCAGGGGTGTAAAGCACTCTGCCACATGCTTAGGTGTCCCCAGAGACTGGGATGAGGACAACAGAACATCACCGCTTAGAGTAGAACTCTGAGAAGAACCTCACTCCGTGTGACCTTGAGCAAGTTCTATAACCCCTTTGAGCTTCATTTTCCACATTTGTATTGTGCAATAATAACATTTACTCTCTACATTTTTTAGGAGGATGAGGTGAGATAATCCATGTAAAGTGTTTGGCACAGTGCTAGGCTATAATAAAGGATCAATAAATTATAGTTGTGGGCTAGTCAGGCTTCAGGGCAAATCCAAGTAATATGACAGACCTCTGCCTCTTTGCTGTGTCCTCTGAGACCTCAGGCTGGTTGCTGCCCCTGTCTGGGCCCTTAGTCCTCCCCTAGCTATCCCCAGGGCCAATGAGGACTTGATGTGAGAGAACCATGTGAAAGGCTGTGTAAACTGCAAAGAACTGCACAGATAGAGGAGGTTTGAGATGGCCCTTTGCCTGCACTGGCCTGCCTACATTCTTGCAGGCCACCATTGTAGTCACTCCTTGTGCACAGATATTGCTTTTGTCAGACGTGCAGAGACTCGGGAACATGGACAGAGTGGTACTTTGGGTCACCTGCAGCTGGAGGTGCGAGGGTGTGCTCTACCACACCAATTCCAAATGCGGTGCCCAAAATCAAATGCATCAAAATCTCACGGAGGTATTTGTAAATCTACTTTCCCAGTGCAACCCTGAGATTCTCATTCAGAGGGCAGGCCTAGGAATCTGTATTTCAGCAATGATTTCCTCAGATGATTCTGATACACAGCCAAGTTCAATAATACTCGGACCAGATTTGCTTTCTGTCATTTGCAGAGTGAGCTCCAGGGGACCAGGGTACAGAACGATTCAGTTCTGATAAGAAAGGAGGAAGAGAAATGACAGGGGTGCTTCAGGAAAGGGCAATAGATGTGAGGCAGAGCAATGCTTGGCAATAGCAATAGGGCAAGATGAGAGCTGAGAAGAGGAAGAAATGCCCATAGGCAGCCATTAAATTCAAGTCGCTCTAGTTTGTATATAGTCCAAGAGCTGGCTAAGGTGTGGATATAGGTCTAATGTATCTGTGTGCCCGTGTGTAATATATGAATATATGCCACATATGGATACAATGTAACCTTTATATAACTGTACTTACATGCGCATATGTATGTATGCATATGTGTGTGCACTTAACTCTTGTATTTCTACATGCTTTGTTGTAAATAAGCTGTGTTCACATATACCTATGTATGTATAAATTTGTATGTACATGTGAGTATTACTGTGAGTATACATACGAATGAGAATGTCAATAATGTGTGTGATTTCTTCCCAGAAGTATGCCAGGTAAATGTCAGCAACAAGAAAGAGGTACTGGAATACCAATATGAGACAAGCAAAAATCAAAATAAATGACATGATTATTGACATTAAGTGATACATTAAATGACAGAAAAATAATTCATATAATAGACATGAACCTTTATGCACCTACCAACATAGCATTGAAACCTTAAATAATGAGAGAGAAAAATACTGAGAGAAACACAGAAAAGGTAGGCAAAATACACAATTGTGAAAAGCTTCAAGCTGCAACTGGTGCCATGGCAGACAGGCCAGAGTCCTTTCAGTGGCCAGAGTGACCCTTCTCCTCTCTTCCTAGGTGCTCAGCACACCAAGGAACCTCTAGTGATTACCAAATATGGGACCCTCCAAGGAAAACAGATGCACGTCGGGAAGACACCCATCAATGTCTTCCTAGGAGTGCCCTTCTCCAGACCGCCTGTGGGTGTCCTCAGGTTTGCTGCCCCAGAGCCTCCAGAGCCCTGGGAAGGAATCAAAAACGCCACCACCTATGCCCCTGCGTAAGAGCCAAATGACTGTTGGCTGGGAGGTGGGCAGACTCTAAGGAGGGGGGGTGGATCTATGCCGGCCTCTGGGCCAGAGTTTGAACAACTCACTAAAAAGAGTGCACTGTATGACTGTAAGTAGCCTGGGGTCCATTCCGGCCCTCAGTTTCCAAACCTATATAATGAAGTCGTTGGCCCAGATGATGTTTACAGGACTGTTAATGCTGTTTGTTCTTGCCTTTCTTATGGGAAAGCTCCAGACAAGGAGGAGGTGCTCACTGATGTGCCTCCAGGATCTTCTGGGAACCTAAGTTTTCCTAAAAGTATGTGAGGAGGAGTTCTCTCTGTCTCTGTCTGTGTCTCCGTCTCTCTGTCTCTGTCTCTCTCTCTCTCTCACACACACACACACACACACACACACACCATACCCAGTGAACCCTGAGCTCTTCCCTCTCACTTGGGGCTTGAGCCCCAGAACAAGCCCACATGACACCATCAGCCCTTCCCTGCAGAAGGAGCTCCAAGATAGGGAGTCACAGGCTCAGTTTCAGTTTTAATGTCCCAGAATTTTTTCTTTTTCAGACAGAGAGAGAGAGAGAGAGCGCACGCACGTACGAGTGCTTGAGCAAGGGAGGGGCAGAGGGAGAGAGAGAATCTTAAGCAGGCTCCACATGCAGCACAGAGCCCCATGCAGGGCTCAATCCCATGACCCTGAGATCATGACCTGAACCCAACCGAGTCACCCAAGCACCCCAAAGTCCCAGAATCTTAATGCAACCTCTAACAGGGCTCAAATCCTGAGTCACATGAGCATGTTGAGATAATGACTGCCCTTTGAAGCACTAGGCTTGGCAATTTACCCAGAACAAGTGTATTTATTATTTATTCAGATCATTGAGTAACCCACTGACCAGAATATTCTGTGGCAATCATTAACAATCAGTTGGATACAGCACTGGGTTTAGAAAAATGTCTACTGTGAGAACCTGGGTGTCAGTTGATATCTAAAAACTATAACCACCACCCAGGGTGTCTAACTCTTGAGAACAGGGCATCCACTGTTAGAACATGAATGGCTATTAGTAGAACACTGGGGTGTTAGTTGTTAGAACACTGACCACCAGTGAGAGAAACCAAGACATCTGAACCTTCTGTGATTGTTATGTGGAATCCCATGGATCAGGTGACAGAACAGGGGATGACCATTATTAGAGCCCCGAGGATCAGGGGTTTAGAGATTGGGGTGCCCATTGCATAGAAGTCCAGGTGTCAGTTGTTGGAACGTTGGCCATGAGCTGTCAGACAATAGCTGTTTGGAACACAGAGTGACAGGTAGAAGAATTTGTGGATGGCTTACAACAGACTGTGGGATGGTAGTTAAGGAGACAAGAAGACTAGTGGCCAGTTTGGATAATGACTAGCTTCAGGCCAGAGCAGCAAGGGAACAAGTGGAGAAAGGAGTAGAATAGACAGGCTTTCCTGCAGCCAGTCAGATGGGCCCAGCCCCAACTATTGGCAATAGCCACACTCCAGGCTGGGACAGCAGGGAGAAAGGATGAGGTGGCCCAACAGCCCAAGCTCCACAAGTACACCAAATGTTCACATGGTACAAGGCACTGGGCTGAGTGCCAGGACTCAGACAAATCCACATCCATCCCTGCCCCTAGAGAGTGCATGGTTGCTTGGGGAGAATAACAACCAAACCAATCGAAACAACTCTAACCCAGCACTATAATCAGCGTGGATAGAACTTTGGGAAGCACAGACAGGAAGTGCCCAGCAGAGGGGGCGCCACTTTAGCTGAGCCTTAAACATAAGCAGGAGTTTGCCAGGCAGAGAAAACATTAGGCAGAAGGGACATAAGCAAAAGGGCTTAGAGATGGGAGACAAGGAAGGGTCCGTGGGCATCTAGAGCAAAGAGTGCCAGGAAGACTAGATGGAGAGGGCCTGCGTCAGTATGGGTGAATCTGGACCTTATCCTGAGCGCAGGGGGGCCCAGGAAGGTTTTAAGGAGGGAAGTGAAATAGGTTTTTGTTTTCTGTCAATCCCTCCGGTCAGGGTGTGGAAGATGAGTTGGAAGCGATGTCAAAGAGGCTGGGGCAGTGTCCTGGCCAGTGTAGGTAATGGCCTTTACAAGGCAGCATCTCTGGGATGGAGAAGGCCTATTTAAGAGCTGTTTGGGAGACAGAAAAGAGCCTGAAGGACGGGAGCATGAAATCCCAGGACACCCAGGTTTCTGGCTTGACAGCACCAAAAGGGTCTCCAACAGAAGCATGGAACCTCTCCCCAGGCAGATTCCTGGGACCGGGGGCAAGACAGAGGGGTGGATCTTGCCCTGGGTCTGACCTGGCGCTGCACTCACCCTGGACCCTAATGCTAGTGGAGGCTATTCGGACACAGATACACACACGCACGCGCGCGCATCCTAAATTTTGCTTTTGGTTCTATTTCCTCAATTGCGGAACCTGGGTTTGCAACCATTCTCCCGTCTTTGGCCACCACGTTGGGCCCAAACTCACATCGTGACCGCAGGTGCCTTCAGGAGTCCTGGGGACAGATCACCTCCATGTACTTCAACACGCGGAAACAGTACAAGTGGCTGCGCTTCAGTGAGGACTGTCTGTACCTGAACGTGTACGCTCCAGTGCGCGCGCGTGGGGACGCTCCGTTGCCGGTGAGTATTCATCTTCTTCCACGCACCATCCCACTCAGGCACCCCACCGCCCAGCTCAGGCCTCCGCTTTCCATGTCCAGGTGATGGTCTGGTTCCCAGGAGGTGCCTTCCTCGTGGGCTCCGCTTCCACGTACGATGGCACGCAGCTGGCCTCTCACGAGAAAGTGGTGCTCGTGCTTCTGCAGCACAGGCTCGGCGTCCTGGGTTTCCTGAGGTGGGCGGGGCCGGGGGCCGGAGCGGGGAATCAGGGGCCCGGCTTCCCAGGGACTTGGGCGGAAGGATAAAGGAGGGGGTATGGGGGCGTGGTTACAAGAGGTGCGTGCAGGGGAGGGGCCTAATTTCTTCTGGAGAGGGCGGTCACTCCCAAGTGCCGCCAGAGGGGGATCTAACACTAGGGAAAGAGGTGTGGTCGCAAGACCTGGTGCCTGAGGGACCAGGCAGGGTGAGGTGGGGCCAGGCAGAACCAGGCTGGAGCCCTGAGTAACCAGACGGTCGGGGGGCTCCGGACCCTGATTATAAGCCCCGCGCGTCCAGCACGGGCGACAGCCAGGCCCGCGGGAACTGGGCGCTGCTGGACCAGGTGGCTGCTTTGCGCTGGGTACAAGAGAACATCGCAGCCTTCGGCGGAGACCCACGCTGCGTGACCCTGTTTGGCCAGTCTTCGGGGGCCATGTGTATTTCGGGACTGGTGAGTGCAGCGCCAGGTCAGACCCAGCACAGACGCAGGTCCCCGGGTTCCCATGAGTGCATCCTCCACTGCACACACACCTATGCAGATTTATGTGTACAGGTACATGCCGGTGCACAGACTTGCCCTCACCCCTGCAAAGGGTACTACTCCATCCAGGGGTAGCACTGATAAGAAAACCAAGCCAGCAGAGCGGGCAACGCTGAGAGTAGGGATACTCAACCAATCCGTGGTGGGCCAAAAAGATAACCCAGCACCTCCTGCCTCCCTACCTACCCCCAGAACTCTATCCCCTGAACAGAATGCATCATCCGCCTTATGGGCAAGGCTGGGGCCACAGACCAAGCCTGGGAGTCAGGGGCCTGGGTTGGAGACTCGGGCGACCACTGACCTGGAGTGCGCCTGGAGTGTAGGTGTAAGGTCAGGTACACCCTGTGGGACACATGTTAGGGAGGTGAGCTGGGACCACATAACACAGGGCTTTACCCGCCACAGTAATAATACTCAAACGCTCAAGCACTTTCTGTGTGTCAAACACTCTTCCAAGCACTGTATGTATATTCATTCAATTCCCTCAACAATCCGGAAATAGAAGCATCCTCTTTCTACAGTTCTACCAAAAGAGAAGTTTTCTCCATTGTGCAGATGGATAAATTGAAGTCCAGAAAAGTTAAGCAGCTTCATTCAAAATACATTGGAGAACAGGGAAAGATTTGAAGCAGAGAAGTGACACAGCCAGAAGTGCATTTAGAGAGATGGCTCAGTGTGCTGGAACTGAGTTAGGAAGAAGCAGGAGGAGAGGCCTGGAGGCCATCTGGGAGTGGAGGTGGGGTATATCTTAGAAGAGAGGATGAGGCCTGCCTCTGAAACAGAAGCAAGAAGACTGGAAAGTAGAAGGTAGCTGAAGAGGGATGCAGGAAGCCAGATGGACAGGACTAGGGCAGCTGGGTGGAGGGGTGAGCAGAGATGATAGGAAAGGCCCCTGGGGCTGGATGGATGGTGTAGTGTGAGGGATGCCACTCAGATGGGAACCAGCTAGAACAAGTTTGGGGCACATGAAGTCTGAAGTGTCCAAGAGACAAGATGAGGGGTCCCAGTTATAGTTGCTCTTCCAACTTGGGCAGCAAAGAAAGTTAAGAACTGTCAATACAGGTTAAAGGGGCCATAGGAACCAACACCCCCCCACCCCCATTTCTAACCCAGAAGCATAGAGAGTCTCTTTCCTACACCAGCAGAACCCTTCCCACAAGCTCAGATCCCCTCTGGAACTGCTGGGGCCCATTGCAGGGGCCAGGATAGGGGGGCCCACAGGCATGAAGGCACCGGCTGTAGGTCCAGGACTCCAACCCAGGACTCTTGACTCCCTCCCAAGCTGCCTGCACTCTTTGGGTCCCTTCACGCTGCCCAGCCCTGGCCAGAAAGGCACCCAAAACTGCCCAAATGACTTCTACTTGTGCCTCTCATGGGTACCACACTCCCCACCCCTGCAGATGATGTCACCCCTAGCCCGCGGTCTCTTTCATCGGGCCATTTCCCAGAGCGGCACCGCAGCACTCAGAGCCTTCATCACTCCTGACCCGCTGAAGGTGGCCAAGGTGGGTGTCTCCTCTCCCCCAGGGCTCAGCAAGAAGGGGCAAGATGGACCTGAACACCTCTTCTCCACAGACAGTTGCCCGCCTGGCAGGCTGTACCTACAACAGCACACGGATTCTGGTAGACTGCCTGAGGGCACGATCAGGGGCTGAGGTGATGCATGTATCTAAGAAGATGGTAGGTAAAACTTCTTTCTAGCTCCTTCACCTGGCCACCTGTAAGCCACCTACCTGACCTGATACCCGGCTGCCCCCAGGGACCCTGTCTAAGGAGCACAGTGGGGAGACTTTCTTTAACTCTAGTTTCCTCCTCTCCCCTACAGGGATTCTTCCACCTGAACTCCCAGAAAGACCCTCAGGAGGTGAGCAGGCCCTATTCTGTGATACAGTATTTATTGAACACCTCCTCCTATGTGCCAGGCATTCAGGATACTAAGTGAACTGTTCAGACCAAGATTCCTTCCCGAGTAGGACTGATGTTCCAGTGGAGACAGGCAGTAATCACTATACATAAATAACTCATTTACCTCTTTAGAAGGAAAGTGAATAGTGACAAATGGAGCAGGGTAAGTAAGGCATAGAATTTTAAATAGGAGGGACAAAGAAAGCTTCATTCAGAAGGTGACATTTAGCAAAGATTGTCAAGAGGTGAGGAAAGTAGATACCTGGGGGTGAGCATCTCCTGCCCTCCAAGGGGTCACTGAAGCCCAGCTTTTCCCAAAGGGCCTATGGATAAAGAAATCTCTGGATGGGGACCTGCTGAGCTGGGAACCCTAGGCTACAGGGATCCTGGGAGGATATGTGGGAGGACTATTTGGAAATGCCCCTTGCCTTGTAGGTTGTGTGGTTCATGAGCCCGGTGGTGGATGGTGTGGTGTTCCCAGATGACCCAGCAGTGCTCCTGAGCCAGGGGCAAGTTGCACCTGTGCCCTATCTTCTGGGTGTCAACAACCTGGAGTTCAGTTGGCTCTTACCTTTTGTAAGTCATTAGGAGGGGTGCCCACCCCAGCGGGAGTAGCAGAAGATTCCTCTTGGGTAGTACTGTGCATGAGATGGATCCCATTGGCTCTTCTGGGGTGTCCAAGTGCTTGGGTACATCCTGCAGTCCCGGAGCAGTAAGAGCTGGCCAGAAATGATGGGAGGAAGAGAAGTATTGGCCTCTTGGAGGTTTGAGGACCCCAAATCTTCAGATCATAGTTTGGATGTATCATCCTATCCACTGTTTAGCCTCCAGGCAGCTGCAAATCCTGCCCCCTATCCCCACCCCCACAACTGCTCCTAGGTCAGGATAGTTGTCTCCAGTCCCCACTTCAGCTCTGACCTGGGTGGTAGTGATGGACAGGTTGAGAACAGGAGGGCAGGAAATAGTCATGGGCCCTTCCTGGGCTGTGTGCTCTGAGAACTCACCACTTAGATGGGTGAGAGCCTTGGAGCCTGGTGTAGCTCTGGCTGGAATCCCTCCTGATGTTTGGGCCTAACTCACACCTGGTCCTTATATTGTGGGCAGATCATGAAGATCTCACTAAACCAGTTCATAATGAGAAAAGGAATCATCACCAAGCTGCTCTGGAGAACCAGTACCCTGTTGGTGAGGAGCCATGCTGTTAGGGGTGCTCAGTTTGGTTGGACAAAGCTAACTCCCCTTTTGGTGGGGCTTGGAGTTTGGTATGGGATCAGATGGCTGCTGGTGAGCAGGTTCCCCCCCCCCATCACCTGCCCCACCCCGCCACCGCACTGGCCTCAGGGTCATGGCAGGCAGTTCTCATGCAGTCTAAACACAGGGGTAAGAATCAGCAAAGATCTTCCCAGAAGTTCCCCTCTCTCCCCCACTCTCCCAGACCAAAAACTCCTGAGGATGCTGAGTGTACGTCACTAGTGTGTGCATTTCTGCTCAGCTGGCACCCCAGGCCTCAGGGTGGGTATGAATTCCCCACCCAGAATATCACCAAAGAGCAGTTACCACTGGTGATAGAGGAGTACCTGGGTGACATTGATGACCGTGACTGGAAAATGTTAAGAAACCGTTTAATGGACCTAGCTGGGGATGCGATCTTTGTGTACTCCACACTACAGGCTGCCCACCACCACAGAGGTATGTGGGGTCCCCAAGAGTGGCCACACTCTGTCTACTGATGCTGCTTACCAACTGCTCAACCACCTTCTTGCACCTCTGGGCTGGTATAGGATTCCAAGATGGCATAGAAAAAGTAGTGGGCTGTCAACTGAGAGAGAAAGGGAGAAGGAGGGCAGGGCAGAGTCCAGCCCAGAGGACATAGCCTAGGGTGGTCAGGGAAGGCTTCCTGGCTGGGAGGACAGGCTGAGGGGGCACATTGGAGATCCTGTCCAGGCTGAATGGGGCTTGGAGAACACATGGGTGAGAGTTCAAAGGTGGGGCTGGAGAGCACAGACACCAAAGAACCTTAAATGCCCAAGAGAGGAACTGTTCAGAGAAGGAACAGGAAGGGTCTGTGATCCTGCTACAATCCCCATCTGCAGATGAGGAATTGCAGCTCAGAGACTGTTGAGTGAGTGACTTGCTCCAGGACATGGGACTGATTAGTAGTGTAGACAGGACTCAAATCTGCTCCTGAGATTCTGGAGCCCAAGCACTTTTCCCTGCTTGATGCAGGTGGGTGGGATGTGTGGGGTGGATGAGAATCCCAGCCCAGGACTTTTCCTGCAGCCCTCCTCAGTTTCCCTATTCCTAGATGCTGGCTTCCCTGTCTACCTGTATGAGTTTGAGCACCACACTCCCACCGGCATCATCATCAAGCCCTGCACTGATGGGGCAGACCACGGGGATGAGATCCACTTCATCTTTGGGAATCCCTTCTCCAAAGGTGCTACAGCCCCACCTGACACCCTCACTGGGTGTCTAGTCTCCCCACCTTTGTATCCGGACTCACCTCTCCATTGGCTGACCCTAAGGGTCTAGGCAGTTCCTAATCTAGAATGTTCCTGGAAATGAAAGCCTCCCAGTATGGAAGAAATAGTGGAAGGAGAAGGGTGGGATGTTACCACCCCATGCTCTGTTCCAAATGTCACATCCTATTCTGACCCCAGGCCATTCCACAGTTGAGGAGAAAGCACTGAGCCTCCAGATGATGAAATACTGGGCCAACTTTGCCCGTACAGGGTGAGTCTGGTCCCCCAACACATCTGGGCAGTCTTCCTGCCCAACGCTAGACCCATTGGCCAGCTGCTTCAGGTATTTGTCCCTGTGTGTCCCATAGGAAATACATGATCAGCCTAAGCAAACTGCACCTTCTCCCTCACCTTTTCCTAGCCAGTGACCAGGTCCTAAATGTCCCTAGGATGTGTCCCTCTCTGTCCCATGACTACACTCTTCATTCACTCAAGCATTCAACCCAAGTCATTCATCATGCACTGTTTTTCACCCAGCCCTATACTGGGAGCTGGAATTCAAGAATCTTGCAAACATGGCCCGCATCCTTCAGCAGCTTGTTAATGTTATAATGAAAACATTAAGTTGCTGTACTGGGGAAGAAGGTACTATGAGAGCACAGAGGAGGTGTCTGACCGAGCTCAGATGGGCAGGAGTGGCTTCCTGGCAGAGGTGACATCTGGGCTGAGCTTTGGCTAGCCTTGTGACTGGTTTCCCATCTCCACATTCTCTATCCTTTCTCTCCTCCCCTCTTATGATACTCAAAAGATCTTTCTGAAATACTATCTGACCAAGTCACTCACCTGTTTAAAACTCTTCCTGGCTTCCCTCTGCCCCCAGACTAAAGTCCCCACCCCTTAGCCCGTTGGCATGAAAATTTTCAAAATCTTTACTGGGTCATCTTCTATCCACAGCCATCCTCTTGACACAGCCCATGTTTTTCTGTAAACTTATACTTGTGCTTCCTCCAAAAGCCCTGGTCTTTCATACCTCCAACCCTTTGCACATACTCTTCCCTCTGCCTGTTTCCTTTTGCCACCACACACTCTTCTATTCTTTCTTAAAGATCTAAATATCATCCCTGTAAGGAATTCTTGGACTCCAACTTCCAAAGGGAAGGTGAATAAGGGCAGGGTAAGAGAAGGAGGCAGGGTGAAGACGAGCATGAACAACCCTCTCTCCTTCTTCCTTCTGGGCAGAAACCCCAATGGTGGGAAGCTGCCTTACTGGCCACGCTATAACGAGGAGGAGAAGTACCTGCAGTTGGATTTCATCACGAGGGTGGGTGTGAAGCTCAAGGAGGAGAAGATGGCCTTTTGGATGAGACTATACCAGCATTAAGGACCTGAAAAGCAGAGGCACTTTTGAGAGTAGCTGTGCAGGAGGGCGTCTAAGGTATTTCCCCACCACCTAAGCTTTGGGGAGACTGGCCATGGACACATCTGGGACAAGCGTCCTGCCTTCCCCAATGTAGGACCTGCAGAGACTCCCTACTATCTCCAGGCCAGAGCTAGAGCCTAAGCCAGTTGTTTGGGGCTCTGCACTACACTCTTCAGCCTGACATCCCATGATGCCCCCCTGTCTCACTGATTCTAGCAGGTTAGGCCAGGTTCTATTACTGCTCCATTGTGCCCAGCCACCCAGCCTCAGGACAAACCCAACTCTTCCTTCTCCAAATCCTCCCACCCTTCAAAGTCTACTTGAACCCTTTGTTTAGATTTCTTTGGGGAAATCCACCCAGACTGCCACTGCCCTTACCATTGCACCCAGCTTGTCATTGACCTTTCATCCTGCTCAGCCTTGTGCCTGTTCACATTACATTGGCCTGAGGCCTTGGTCAGATTATTTGTTATGTGGGGTGAAGCTTTGATAGCTTAGGGTCTTCTCCTCCTTGCATACTCACCTCCCATGAAACCCCTCCAAAGCCTGGACACAGGGATGGTCCTCAATAAAAACATGTTGAATTGACCTGAATTTCTCCATCTGTAAAATGCTTGAGTGAAGCAGAGGACATCTTGATTTGAGCCATCAGAGAGAGGGTGTGTTGCTGCCTGCCTCTTGTTGGGCCCAGTCTGCTGTGCTACATTCAGACAAAGGGAGCTGTGGCAAAGTTGCCTGGATTGCAATATACCTGGCTTTTTTCTTCATTATCTCAGAAGGGACCTCAGGATATCCATACTCCATCCTCGCTTGTCCATTGGTGTAGGTCTTGGTGCTACATCCAGACTCCTCACTCTGGCCTCTCCTGCAACTCGACCTGGGCATACCGCAGCCTGTCCCATAGGGTTTTTTTGGTTCAGTTTAGTTTGCTGTTGGTTTTTTGGTGGTAAAATATACATAACATAATATTTACCATTTCAACCATATTTAAATGTCCAGTTTAATAGCATTAAGTACATTCATGTTGTTATGTAACCATCACACCATACATCTCCAGAACTTTTTCATCATCCCAAACTGAAACCCTGCATCCCTTAATTAACTGCCTATTTCCCCTCATTTCCAAACACTGGTACCCACTATTCTACTTTCCACCCTATGAATTTGACTATCTCAGGTACCTCATAGAAGTGGAGTCATACAATATTTGTCCTTTTGTGTCTGGCTTATTTCCCTTAGCATAATGTCTTCAAAATTCATCCATATTGTAGCATGTATCAGAATTTCATACCTTTTTAAACTGAATAATATTCCATTGTATGTAAATAACATATTTTGTTTATCCATTTATTTGTTGATGGACATTTGGGTTGTTTCTACCTTTTGGCTATTGTGAATAATGCTGCTACGAACAATAGTGTAGCATCCCATAGGTTTTATGTCCCAAACTACAATGTTGATTAGACTCTATTCTAAGGGTTCCTGAGTTGTCTCTGAGGCAACTAGAAGCTGCAGACCTGTGGGGTCAGGGGCACTCATTCCTCCAGCATCTAAGCCCCCAAAACAAAGGGGTGGTTGGAAGAGGGGGACAAAGCCCCTTTCAAGCAGATTCATGTTCACAACAACCTGTCATGGATTTTATTACCCTATATTATAGATGAGGCAACTGGGACACAAGACATAAAAGGTCTTGCTCAAGGTCATTACCTAGTTGTGGAAGAATGGAAATTTGATACAGCCTTGTCTGACTCACCCTGCCACCTCCATCCAAACCTGGAACAATCCCTGAGAGAGGATGGCCCCAGAGGACATGTGGCAGCTCCACTCTCTGGGAGGCATAACCAGCAAAACATCCCTGCCCCCCTCTAGCCAGGGGATAGTTAACCAAAGAGCAGGTCAATGGGACCCTGAGTGAGAGGCTGGATGCTCTCTGGGACCCCCTGGAAAGCGATCCTGGGTAACCTGTGCAGAAACTCAGCAGGGACCAGCTGGGCTTGATTCATCCCAGTGCCTACAGGATACCCTGACCTGGAGGTCCAAAGGTCTGACTGCAGGTCAGTCCAGGCCTGCTTGTGAGGGTCCCTCAGTTCCGTCCTCAGACTCTCACACATCTGGGGAAGGAACCTTCTCCAAAGAGCCACCTGCCCAGAGGCTGCTCCCTACCCCCACCCCCCAGGCTACTGTCTCCTAAATCAGTGGGAGTGAACCTGAGGAGGAGCTAGGGTACAGTCAGGGCCCCACCAGATGCCAGGATCATAAACGACTCCCAGGGAAACCCTAGGACCTTATCTCAGAATTTGAGCATGGAGGGATTCCAGTGGACAGCCTGGATGGTTGACTGGCCCCCTGCCTCCACAGCTCCAGCCCCACACCACCCTGTCCTCTTCCTGATGGAAGAGGGAGGCGGGGAGGGCTACCTACTGCTCTGTCTCCACCTCCGCTTCCCGGCTGCACTGAAGTCTCCGGTGGCCCACCCAAAGGCGTTCCTAAAGTCCCTGCCAGGCTCCACGGCGCTCCACTCCGCAGGGAGCGGTTCACAGAACTGACTGGATCTTGGTGAAGGCCCTAAGACACTTGAGTGGCTTTTCCCTGGGTTCATCGCTGTGTGCCAGGGCCGCCAAGAGGAAGAAGACGCACCGGTGTAAAGCCAGCTCTTGGAACAGCGTGGACACGCGTCTCCTGCCAGCCCCACGGCTCAGCTCAGGCTGAGCCTGACTCCCCAGCTCCAGAAGCGGAGCCCCTTGCTCTCCTCCGACACCCCGCCTGCCCCCGCCCCGCGAAGCAGCAATTACTACCAAGGCAGCTGAGGGCCAATTAGTGCGGGAGACTCGGCGTGTGGGTGGTGCCCGCGCTGACCGCAGTCCCCCGCAGCGCCGCCGCCGCCCTCCTTGCCCGGCAGACAGCGCCAGCGGCCTGGGAGCCTCTGGGGACGCGCCGTCCGCCTCCCGCCAAAGGCAGTGAAGGATCAGTCGCCTGGCGCGGGGCCAGAGCCCGGGCGGACGCGAGGGCGCCGGGAGCTGAAACTCGCAGCCGCTGGGGGTGGGGGCGAGGGGAACCGGGCCTCTCTCCCAGTGAGGGCTCCTGCGCTCCTGACCGCCTGTGCCCAGGCGCCAGCCAGTAGTCGCCCGTCGGGCCGGCGGCAGGAGGCGCGTTGAGGCCGAGCCGCCCCAGTCTCAGGCAGGCGACACAAACGCTCTGGGCAGGGGCGAGCTCTTCCAAGCCCCTTGCGGTCTCATGGTCCTCCTGGCTTCTCGCTCTCCAAACAAAGCCCCGCCTGGGCTGGCCGCCCCCAGGGCAGTTTCCTGCTGGTGGCCGTGGAGGCCTGCGCTGGCTGGTGCCCCGTTGGCAGGAAGGTGGGCAGGAGTTTGGGTGGGCAGTGCAGGGCCACAGGCTCATCGCCAATGGGCTTCCTGTCCTGGGTCCCTGCGGTGCACAACCTGACTGGCCACATATGGGCTTTGGGAGACCCAAGAGGTATCAATCCTGCCTTCCAGAAGCCCACAGGCTGCCAGGAGAGATACTCCAGGGGCCTAGCGAGAACCCCAAGCTACTAGAAGCTCTGAGGTCCAGAGAGGCAACAGGTGAAGGAAAGAGGGGCTCGAAGAGGAGCAGTGGGGTCAGATGCCACCACTTCAAGGCTTCTCCTTCCCCAACTGACCCCTTCCCAGCCCAGCTGGACACACTGGAGCCCTGTCCTGAGGGACAAGGTAAGCCTATGCCCAAGACATGTTACATGAGGCTGAAGTTTCTAGAAGAGAGGAAGCAGTTGGGGGGAGGGTTCAGGAAGAAGTTTCACAAATGGGGTTGACCAAAGAGATCTGCTGTTTCCCCCATCAGTGCCACAAGGGGCTGGGTTAGAGGTGCTGAGGTCCCTGACCAGTACTGGGTACAGTGGCATGGGTTTCAGGGTGGCCTTTACTCTGTGCCCTCTGCCCCCACCCCTCTCATGTCTGGCCTTAGTAGGAAGGGGCTGGCGACCTGCTATGTGCCCCGAAGGGCCAGATTTCCTGTGAGTGAGAGGATATCACTCTTCTAAAGGAGTCAGAACTCTCCTTCTGAACTCTCCTTCCACATACCAAATTCATTGACTGTGTGGAGAGAGAGTGCCTGCGAGAAATTGGGTTATGGGGATTGAGGGAGGAAGGGATGCAGTGACAAAGACACCACCTTGAGTCCTTCATGAAATGAGGTGGAAGTATATTAAATCATGAGGAGAGAAACAGAAGCAGATGAAAGAGACAGTGGAACAATCCGCCAAGAAAGTCAAGGGGTAGAGGGAAGAAACAGAAGCAGGTGGACACACACCCAGACAGGCAAATGGACACAGAGCCAGGGCGGTGCTGAGGCTGTTCAGGCTGGAAAAGAGAAGTACCCGGGTACTCAGAAGATGGCAGTAAGCATGGATTTGTTTCTCATCCCCGTTGTCTGACCACTGAGACCTTGGAGGGGGATGATAGAAAGGGTCAGCTGGAAAGGCTGTGAGAGCACGGTGGAGATGCTGACCTAACGTGGGTGAGGTGGTGAGTCAGAGAAGTCTTCTGGAGGAGCACGTGAAAGGACCAGTAGGAAAGAGTGGAAGGTCTGGAGGCAGAGAGGGAGGGGAAGCTACGTCAGCTAGAAGGCACAACAGGAGCAAAGGCCTGGAGATTGGAATTAGCCTGTTCCATCCTAGCAGCTCTGTGTATGTGTGGCCCATGCAGAAAGGCAGGGGAAGCAGGGCCCAGAGCTGGAACACCAGCCCTATAAGCCTGGGAGGGAGCATGGACTCTACCTTGAGGCACTGGGGAGCCATGGGAGGGACATGTCCTGGTTAGACTTATCTTCCAGAAAGATCTCTAAGATTACAAAGTACAGACAAACTGAAGGAAGAGAGAATAGAAGTGGGGACACCAGGGCAGGACAATGCAAAACTAGACAGTGAGTCCTTCGTGGAAGAGAGCAAGCAAGTTCATAAAGCTGAT